TTAAGAAATTCTTTTAACCCAAAAAGCAAATTATGCTCCCTTCGAACTGGTTTTCTTTAAAATACAAATCTTTGTAATCCCAGGCTATCTGTAATCAGAAGCACATTTATAACTGGAATATAATTTAATTTCATTCACATGTGTTTAATAAACACATAATCCTTTATGGATTACAATCCGTCATCAAAATTATACATTTAATTATTCTGGCTGCTGTGAGAAAAGGCTATAAACGATCGGCCACCTGCAGGATCCTCACATGTGATAGCCTAGTAGCCGGGATAACTTCTTTATTTGTACAGACGTGACGTAATGACGCAGTGCCATGCTCGAATTTCCCGTGAAAACCTACCCGTACCACTCAAATTAGAAAACATTATTATAAGCTAACCGTTGTGAATCGGACTAAAGTACGGCGATAGTTTTTAACACTGGCTAGTTATGTACTTGCTCAAATATTGATTTCGGATAATTTTTAACCAAAAAAAGTTATGGACTGTAGCTTTAAAAAAAAAAAAGTTTAACTTATTCCTAAACTGGGGCATGTTGAGCCACTTGACCACTTTGTTAGTTTTGAGAAGTTTGTTTAGTCCTGTGTTATGGAGTCTTATAAAAGGTAATATTATCAGATTACATTTTGTAATTACATAAGCGATAGTTTCGCGAAACATAACTCTGTAAATATTGACTCAATAACTTAGACTTATTTGAGGGGCTTCATAAAGATTGCTTTAAGATTTCATTATAGTTTCAATTAGTTATCAGAAATACTCACTGAAACAGGAGGCTTCAAAAAGAAGGAGACACAGACACAACACTTTCAGGTTCATATCACGGTCCACGGCCGTTGGTAACAGCTAAATCCTCTGTAAATCCCTGAATCACACCAGATGAACTTGATGATGTCCTCTGTTGTATGTCGGGGAAGCCCTCCGAGATCAACATCAGAAATCCTGTCCCGATCACACCTGACGAACTCTGAGATGTCAGTCCACAGCGTCATTCTATTTATCGAGTTGCGACACTCCCAATAGACTTTAGGACTCGGGAAGCAACTGTTATGGAGCAACCAATAGTTTCAAAACAATCAATAGTTCGTTAAACCCCATTCATTGCAGTCTTTCTCAAGCACACTCGCTGGAAAGTTTGTAAATCTTGAATGCTTTGGAGCACAGACTAATGCTAAGTTTGGTCTTTTTTTTTTAAAGACGACACTTGGCAGACAATTGTAGAAACGGCAACGTGCAAAAGATTGTGCCAAGGGGCGTTGTAGAGTTGAAGATAGTGAGCAAAAACTCCTGTACTTCATAACGCTTGTTCTTTCTTTCTTTCTTTTAAATAAAGTAGTTCAAGTTTATGCGGTTATGTTGCTAACTCTTATTATCTCTCCATGTACATTTTTGGATGAACATAATTTCCTTCATTCATTCCCCCTCTCTCTCTCTCTCTCTCTCTCTCACACACACAGTTTTTTTTATATAAACTCATACACGCAAAGTTTTTGTACAGAAGTTATATTTATTAAACCCCAATCCTAATCACCCTAAATCTAACCCTAACACAAACCTTGATATCACAGTTCACGAAGGACAGAACTTAATGTAAAATATCATAAATGTAATTAACATTACCAGGTAAACAAACAACACTACAAAAAGAAAAGAAATTTGTTACTGTGTTGTAGTTTTACTGGTTAGCAAAACATTGCTTAAAGACAAAGTTACATAACCAGAGAAACCTGAACAGCGAGAGAGCGTTCTGGATAGCTGACCTCATGTGAAAATTACGTCATGCGTCACATGGCACGATTGTTTGCATAGATACGTTTACATAGATACTCTGAAACTGTAGTATGTGGGAAAGGAGACCAGAGGCCTTTTTGTTTGAATGGATGTCAATGGAGGAGAGGCTTCACTACACTGAATAAACAGTTTTTTTGAGGAAACAGCTCGGCTAATCTTCAACATGTTTTACACTAAACAATACTTTTGGATTGAACTATTTTTAGAGTTTACACTTAAAAAAATGCCGTTTTATAAGAGAAGTCACCGACTTTTTGCAACAGGTGGGATACAGCTTACGGTACTTCCCATTTATTCCTATGGTATCCGTAAACGGCGACTGAGTGTCGCACAACTCTGACTGAAAGTCAATGACATCAAGGCTGTAATGTGATTGGTTATTAAGGCACACGTGATCCAAGTTGACCATTACGCTTTCTCCAATAGTAAGGAATATAGACCCTCTCATCTCCCAATAGTAAGACCATCTCTGATCACTCCCTGCGTTCCATTCAAGCGGCAACCTTCCAGTCGCTCTCTTGAAACCAACACGGACGTGACTTAAACGGCAATTCATCTACTGGCCACTAGAGATGCATGGTTTCAGCAACCAGTCACCTCAGCACCACCCACATCCCACCTCTTTGCCCATTTTTGATTATCCGAGAGTGACATGCCCATTTGGGCCTCAAAAATTAAGTGTGTATAGGGTCAAAAAAAATTTTTTTTGGAACGCACTTCTGCATCATCTTAACGAGATGATCAAGGAGGCGGCTTCATTGCACATTTTGTACGCTGGTTGAGCCCCCCCCAAAAAAGCTCGGATTGTGCAAGCTGCGCCTTTTATTTAATGTTAGTTTATTTATTTGTTTTTGGTTTATCGCACCAAGGCCAATGGATATTACTTCATAAGCAATTGATTTTAAATGGATACATTTTGCCTATGCATAATTCATGCCAAGTAGTTCTAAATTATGCCATACAACTTATACGCCAAATACACATAAATACACCAAACAACTTCCCTGTGCAAAGGATCATGGGGGCCTGAAGTGTCCATCAGTTGTACCCTTCGAAATCCTTCATTCCGAAGGGCCCTTTGAAGTGGGCAGTTTTGAGCACTTTGGTTTGGAACGACCTTCGGAGGGCGATATATCCCATTTGGAACGCACCGACTGTTACCAAAGAAGAGTATAGACCAATTTCGGTGTTTGCAAACAGTGATGACGTTTTTTGTGGGCGGAGTCTATCTGGTGGCAGAAAATGACGGTTTTTAAGTAGCAGTCTATGGAAGCCATGGAATAAAAGAATAAAAAAAGGTAATTTCGAGTTTATATTTCAAAATTCTGACTTTTGGAAGTATGTCTTTTGGAAAAACAAACAACATTATCCCCATCTTGGGGACACAAATCACGCGATCGAATTGCTTCGTTATGATTTGATCTAACGGGGCATCTACACCGGATGCGAGTGATGCGACAAAAGAACCCGTTAAGAACGAGGCATGTGACCTCGCGCTGGATCCAGTGTTATATGCTCTCCTACTTGTAAATCGCTTTGGATAAAAGCGTCTGCTAAATGAGTAAATGTAAATATGGACAGCATAACTGATTATTGGGTTCTTTTGTCCGGAGTAGAATTATCCTTTCCCAATAAAGCAAAGTTGTTTTGCGCCGAATACTTGTATCTCATCATACTTTATCATATTTTAGTAGGCTACTTTATTTAATTACAGCTATGTTCTTAACTTTAACTGGCCTGTCACTGAGAGAGAGGGGAGGACAGTTGCTCGACCTCTCCAGAATCTATACAGGTGAGAACTTGAAAGAAGAGAATTATTTTAAGGCAGTGTTTTTTTTTTTTTACTGGGACTACTTGCCAATGTTTTAAAGAATTAAACATTAATATATATTTTCATTTTCTGTTCAATTAGTTGTAAAGGCAGTGTGTTCCAATAGTTTTAAATACACTTTTTTTGTCCAACTGTTAAGAATTAGGATAAAAGTTATCGTTTAAGTGTAGTGTAACTGAAATATTGTGCATAAAATATCTTTATTTAATATGGTCTCAAAGTCCCAAGTCCTGCAGTTATTTTTGAATTAGGGTTAGAGTTACTGTTTGTGAGTCTGATATCACAAAAAAATAGGTCCCTGTAAGCTGTCTTGCTTCCTGTAAGCTATCATGGCATGTTCCCAAAATTGCCATTATGGTGCTCTAAAACACGCCAATTAGTATTCTATATAGAATTTATTCTATACAGAATAAATATATTTATTCTAAATATGATGGTTTTAGAACCTGTGGTGTCGTCTGCCGCTCGTCTGAGGAACCACACTCAGTCTTGAGTTTTGATGCCAGAAGATACATTTTATTTTATCATCAATGAAAACAAAACGGAGATGCTCTCTGCAGCGAAACATCTCCAGAATGATCATCTTGTCTTCTTTTTATACAGTTCTGACTTTAAGGCATGGGGTATATATTCCATACAATTGGGGGGAAGTCGTAGCCTAATGGTTAGAGAGTCGGACTCATAACCCAAAGGTTGTGGGATCGAGTCTCGTACCGGCAGGGATTGTAGGTGGGGGGAGTGAATGTACAGCGCTCTCTCCCACCTTCAATACCACGACTGAGATGCCCTTGAGCAAGGCACCGAACCCCCAACTGCTCCCCGGGCGCCGCA